TCGTACGTACGAGTAAGTAGAGCAACACGTTTTGAGAAAATGATTGACGAGGTCGCACCTACTCTGACCACTCCTCAAGATTATCGGTACATTCACATTCAACACACTCACGATGAAGTGCAACTCAAGAATTCAAAGGCATGAACAATTACCTGCTTCTGAAAGTGTCAAAATTGAATTTAAAAAGAGCACACCGTTGCTATTTCTCTGTAAATAGCCAACGAGTTCATAACAAAGGCTTTTTCGACATTGTTAAAGTTACACCAATCTTGCCCAACACAAACACACTACTCTTGACCCTACCTCACTTAATCTTGTCTATCATGATTTATTTTTCTCGTATAAACTCAGCTCCCTAGGCTGGTTTTACAATTGTATTTTCCCCTCCATCTTCACGGATCACCTAATTATACTCAAGATATTAGTAATGTTATTGAGCTTCACACTTAGCACGGTACACCACTTTATTGTTCTGGCACGTTATTACTCTCCAAAAAAATTGTAATAAAGGACTTTAGGAACTTGTGTAATAGTCTAATCGTAGCTCACTCTTTTGAGAACTTGCTTCTTTAACACGCTTAACACACATTCAAAAGGTCATAATGCTCTAACCCCTTCACTGAAAATCTAGCCAACAAATATAATATTCAATTATGTGTCTCATATCATATTCAATAGATAATATTTACATAAGATAATTTTTTTCAAGTTATTGTGATTTTAAATTTTAAAATTTGTTTTCTAAATTAAAGTATCATATCATTGATGACCGTTTCCATATTCATAAATAAACCATCATTTTCATCTTAAGAAAAATATCATGAGTGTATAAATCTTCATTTATAAAAAAATTGTATTTTATATCAATAAATATTGTTTCAGTTGGTGAGGATTTATCTCACAACTCACATGACCATGTGTTCAAATTCCATTATCGATATTCTTTGAATCTAGAAGTATGTTATAGCTATAATGAGCCTCTATAACTCAACTTATTTAGCGTCAATGTAATGCAAGGAACACCATACTATTTTTTTTCCTTTTAAAGTTAAACTTAAATTAAATGCAGTTTCATGAGTTTTTCCCATCAGGGCATATTCATCATCCTCTCATTAATTTGGTTCTAAAGAACTATGTGAAAATGTTGCTCTCGTCCGTGCCTTCTATTAAGAAGAAAATTGCAATTTGGGTTGACTTCGCTTGTATATGCTTAAGAACTAGTTTCCCTTTCTCTCGCTTCATCCAAGCTTTAGCCCCTTCACTTTTAGAGTTGATAACCGAGGCAGGACGGATCGATTTGGATTAGATTTATTTGGGTGAATCTAAATAAGTCCAAATTTATGTTAAAGAAATTATATAGTCAAGTCTAATCAAATTAGTTTTGGCTTATTTAAATAGGTTCGAGCTTTCAAATTATCTACTCCCTCCGTTCAAAAATATAAGGCATATTTTGAGGAATTGGATGTTAAAAAATATAAGATATTTTTAATCTTTTGATGTGTAATCATTGCTTTTTTTAAAGTACCCCTATTAAATAAATTACTTTATTTATTTTAGGGTGTTTAATTTGATAGGAATAAATATATAAAGATAGGGTTAGTTTGAAAATAAGTAACTACTTTATTGAGGTGAGATTCGGTTAAAAATGCCTTATATTTTTTAACGGAGTGAGTATTATTTTTATAAGTTTAGACCTACTATATTTTATGCTTATTTAAGCTAATTCATTTAACTTGTTTTATATTATCATCTCCACACTTCTTAAAAAATAATAATAAAAGGCTTAAATACAGTCATGATTATGGAGTCAGCTTCTCTCCTCTCCACCCTCCCTCCTTTGCCCCTCCCTCTCTCAATGGCTCCCTCGTAAAAGATCTGGACTATTTGAATTTAATTTGATTACCAATTTGAACAATCTAAATTTAATATGAATAGTTTAAATTTATTATTAAAAATTTTATAATTTTACTATTAAATCTGCACCATCCAAAAAATATTGAGATAATAACTTATAAAATATTTTATTAAATCTGATCACAAGACAGTTTAAATTTAACATAAATGATCCAAATTTAATATTAGTTTTTAATATTAAATATGCTCTATCTAAAGTATATATGGATAATCAATTTATAAATTATCCATATTAAATTTCAACAATTCAAAACCAAATTCATTAAAAACATTTATAATTTTTAATAAATATAAAAAAAATTGACATTTTGAAGCTAAACCACCCTAATTAAATATGGACAATTCAAATCCACTATTCCAAAGGGATAGTGGAGGAATTTATTATGTTTTTTTCCCTTATGTGCCCATTTTTAAAATGAGATAACTCAATTTTGACCCAAAAAAAGGACCAAAAATTGAAGACTACCTTTATTAATTATCTTTCATCTTTTCACTCTTTTTTTAGTTTGAATTAAGTGTTATTTTTATCCTAAACTATACACAAAAGTTCACAAATGATTATAAACTCAATTTAGGGTTAATTTTATCTCTCAACCTCCAAATTTTTAAATATTTTTTACTAATAAAATATAATAGTATAACCCACTTTATTCTTTATTATATTTTTTTAAAGTTGAGAATCTAAAATGCCTCTTAATTAAACAGAAAGGATCAAAGTCATCCTTAAAGTCAAGAAATGATCATTTATATTCCTCAATTCCTAATATTTTTGATTCCATCACTCTACTTTCTATTCTGTCAATTTTCATAGTTAGTAGGGCACACATTTGAATTTTTAAATATTTTTAGTGAGTCCCATCATTTTTCAATATTTTTTATAATTTTATAAGAAAATACCCCTCTCTCTTCTCCCTCCCTCCTCTCTCTCCCCTTCATTCCCTTTCCCATTCACTCGTTCTTGGACTGAAGCAAGTGGAGTAGTAGTGACATAGCACCTAGCACATCATTGCAGTCTTGTTATCGTCTTGAATGGCCAGGCTAAAAAGTGCTCTAGAAACATGTTCTTGTAATGGTTGACAAAATTCTGACACCATTTAGCAATGGTAGATTTGAGGGCAAGGTTAGGAATTACAATAGAAAAATTGGGCTTAAAGCCATCAAAAAGCCATGACTTGAAGTAAATTTTTACAAGCTTGAATAGAAACTCATTTCAAGGTGTGGTTTGAGCCCTAAGAAGACCTATTGAAAATATGAAAAATGATAGGACCCACTAAAAATATTTGAATTCAAATGTGGGCTTCACTAACAATGAAATTTGATAGAATATATGACACGGTGATGAAATTAAAAATCGTAACAGTTGAAGGATATAAATGACATTTTCTTGATTTTAGAGGTAATCCTAATCCTTTTTGCACACTTGAGAGACATTTCAGACTCTTAACCTTATAAAAAATGATGTGACCTGCTAAAAATATTAAAGAATTCAAATGTAAGCCCTACTAATGGTGAAATTTGATGAAATAGATGACAAGGTTATGGAATCAAAAATCTTAATAATTGAAGAATATAAATAACTCTTTCTTGACTTTAGGGGTGATCTTGGCCATTTTCACTTACTTGAAGGACATTTTAGACCTTTAACTCTTTTAGTTTTTTCGCTTTTGTTTATTATTGACTATGTGAGTTACTATTGTGGCTTCTAAGTCTACATTTGGTACTGTTAGACATGTAAATACTTATTATAGAAACTTTCTATCTTCTAAAATGATAAAAATACTAATTTGTGGGCAAAATTGATTGCAAATTAAGCAATCTCTGTCTAAATTTGTTGACAAATTTAATAAGTTTGATAACTTTGATGGGACAGAATATGTCATTCAATTATACTTTTACTTATAGCTTAGTAATTCGCCCACAATTTTCTTACTTTGTTATTTATAATGTCAAATTTTACTTTGTTATTAATAATGTAATTGTTGTTTTTTTTAGATGCAACACGTGGAGGAAAGTGCAATGGCTTTTATTGATTGAAGGGTTTCTTTCAAAAGTAAATTTCTTGTTGACTTTGTTAATTTCTTGCTTTCTTTTTTTGCAAATTTTCATTTCAGGTTCTGTAACTTTTTGGTTAAATATATTACATCAAGGGTCTTAGATTAGCTCTTGAATAATTTTTTGTTTATGCTTCATTTAGATAAACAATATTGAGATAAAATGCTCGCTATTGTTTTTGTTAGAATATTTTGTGATTTTTCTATATGCCACTGTTTTGTTGTTAATACTCTCATATTTTGCTTCCCTTTTGTTTTCTTCCAATTTTTTGTTTGTTTTTATAACTTTTTTGTTCAGCTGTGACATCTTTCAATTGGAAACATTTGATTCTGTTCATTGCAATGCTCTTGTTAATTATGGCTTCTTTATTTACACCATATCCATTCATGCATGCAGGATGGGAAGTAATATGTAAAAGCTATTTTTGTAAATTGAAGTTTACTCTATTATTGATATTTGAAATTGCTATTTTATGTGATGCTTCAACCTTTTGTGAAATTTATTATTTTAATGGATTGCAAATGTTATTCTTGACTGAGTCATGAATAATTGGATATTATGTTAAGACTTATAGTGATTTTATATTTCAACTTAGAGATTTATAATTTTATAATGTGAATTTATAGTTTATGGATGTTATTTTGGGTTGAAATATTTTATATTTGTTTCTAAAAATGATAGGTAAGGTAGCCCGAAATGACACGGCTTATTGTGGGTTGGAAACTTATGCATTCTTCAACTTGGACATTAGGTAGGAGCCTTGCCTTGCCTTACCTAGCCCTATATATGTACACTTGAGCTTGGACTACTTGTCTTTTATTTAAAAAAAAAAAGGACTAATTAAAATTAATAAAATATTGTTTGCCAAAAAAGAATATTAAAAGATGAAACAAAATCTTAACCATTCAATCTTGATCTGAACGGTGATTTTTTTTTTGGATAAAAAACGGTGAAATTAAGAGATCAACACTTCTAGAGCAGGGAATTTACATTTAAATAATATAAAAGGCTTGAGTTTTGAAATGTCATTCTGATTTTTTAAAAAATAAAAAAAGAAAAAGAAAACCTCCCCAGGCGGTCTGCAATTTGCATTCCGTTCAAGTCCTTCGTGGTTTTTGGAAGGATCCAATCCCACAATAACGAAATTCGCGAACTTGTATCGATACTTCAAACAAATTCCCGATCTTGTTTTCTGGTGAAGCCGAAACTCTATACCTACAAACTCTGGTCATTTGATCAACACCTGGCGCCACCGTCAGATTCTCATGCCGGTAAGGTATGCTCCATGTTACTATCATTGTGCTTTATGCGGCTGGAATTTTATTTTGGATCTTTGAAGGGTTGCGGAAACTTTAGGTTTTTCCGTTGAAAGGATTGCTGCTTGAGATTCCTATTTTATTTAAATTTCTTTTACTTTATTGGGTTTTAAACTTAGTACATTCTAGTTTCTTTGATTTTCTTGGATCTTGGCATGTTTCTAATGATACTTTGAGGCGAGGGTTCTGACAGTGCTTTTACATCGTTGATTTGTGGTGGTTCCTTCTTTCCCTTCTCGTTCTTTGTTTTTTTCCTCTCCCGGCCGCAGTCAGGATTGTTGCAGAGATACTTAATCTCTAGTGATGCTTCTGTAATCTCACTCACTGCTATGCTTGTATAGTTGCAAGTCTGGTAGCTAGGTATCACACTTTATAGCTTTTGCCACATCATGCTTTAGATAACCTTGATATGTATTGTGTTTGCGTGGCTATATGTAAATTATAGCTTGTGGTTTGAATACTATGAGAATGAGAAAGTACAATGTACTGCGTAATGGAAGAGTTCCTGGAGAAGTTGGAAAGTGAAAATTGATAAGTGATAACAGATATTTTATGTGCCTTGAGAACAATGTGGTTATGCATTAGAACCTTAATATAATACCTTTCTTATTTTTTTATTTGGGGTTAATGAATCATTTGTTGTTATGTAACTCGAAGAGTGCTTTGAGAATGCATAAGTGAGTGTAAGTTTTATCACATAGTGCTTTATTGGACTATATTCTATGAGAACACATACATCTCCATATCTCTCTCTCTGGCATGGCTATTTTGTCTATGCAGATATACAGATTGTAGGGTAGGGGCTTTTTTTTAATCTCCTTAGTCTGCACTTTCCCATGCAATCTAACTCTTCACTTTATATTTAGGAAAACTCTTGTGGCCCATTAATGTACAATTGCTTGCCCATGATGTCAATTGGAGGCTGTAAGATGTAGATGCACGCGCACGTGCGTGTGCGTGTGTGAGATTAGCAGCTTATTAATTCCAAATTTTGTTGTTTGTCTTGCAATCTTTGTTATAAGTTGGTACTCTTAGAGCATAGGTTTGTCAGAGCTCCGAAATGCATGCTCAGTTGTGGAATAGCACCAATCAAGTTGGAAGTTCTAATATCATAATTTTTGTTCATTCCTGCCTGGTCTAATAGTTATGGACTATTAGGAACCCACTCCGAAGAAGCTAATAGAACCAAAACAACAACACACCAAGGAAATAACAGAGAGCAATGAAGAAGACCAGCGTACAGAGTCTCAGTCAAAAATGATAGGGAAAAGGGCAGGAAATCAGACTAGCAACTTCAAGGGGGCTAGAGACTCCCGCAACCTAGATTTTCCTTGTCAGCTTCGAGACCTCAAGCCAGCCTTTATTCTTCATATTCTCTCTTTTCTGACCATTGTTCTCTATGAAGCCAATTGTTTGTTGCCACGTGTACATCCGTTGACAGCCACTAGAATTCCCTCTTCCTAACTCTCACTCATTTTTCCTGTCATTAGAGTTTATAGGCCGAAGAGACTGATGGAAACAGCCTCTGATATAGTATTATTCAATGAAAATACCCTCCACGGAGTGTAAGTCTGATGGTGGAAGCTTTAGTTACAGGGAGAAAAAAACCAGACCAGCTCCTATGCGTTCAAGAGGCATAGACTCTCCCATGCAACTTCCAGAATCAACATGCCCCCTCACCTCCTCGCTCACTCTGCTAATAACTACCTTCTCTTTCCTCTAACAGAATCCTATGCCATTTAACTCAGGCCCATGCCCTATAAAGACTTGCTGAATTGTGGTTCCAGCATAGACATAATCATATTGTTGCCCGACCAAAGGATTTAATTGAGGATCAACTTGCTTGTGTTGTGCAAATGGAAAAGCTGTTTGGACATGCTAATTTATTTTTCAGTCTTGCAAATAGTAAATTAGAAGAATTTGATTTGGGCTTCCTTATCCAAATGTAGCTTAAATATATGCACAGTAATTTATTTTCAACTGGCCATTAGCCTTTGCAATCTCTCTATGGTGTCAAATTTTATGTTTTAAATTGTTTTAATAATTTAATAAACAATTTCTCTGCTAAAAAGGAAAATCGTAATGTTATCTTGATTCTTTTTTACAGTAATTCTCTCAAAGCGATATTTGAAGAAGTGTCACTAACAGCGGAAATTTAGTAGCTTGGCCAAACAAACAGTGAAGCAGCTGCTATGGGGATAATCAGAAGTTGCTTCTCTTTCATAGCAGGCACGGTCTGTGGGGTTTACTTGGCGCAGAACTATAAAGTTCCAAACATCAGGAAGCTTGCTGACACTGCCATGGTCATGGCCAAGCACGTCGAGGAACAATATCGCAAACCTAAGAAGGGTAAAGATGACGACAACTATGATTAGTGCCTGTGCAATGCTACGTTAGAATGAGTTTCTTGCTTTTTGGGTTCCTTCCCCCCCCCCCCTAGAGTCGTGGATTATATAGAATCAAACGTGTTAATGACAAATTATTGAGAAACACGAGTTATTCAATTCTTTTTATACTAGTGTTTTTAGCATTTAAATTGCTTTGGATTTTGCAACAAGTGGAGGGAGTTTGTCAATATCTTTGATTGATAGGAAAGATTTTAAAGAAGCTGGAAACTTTATCTTACAAATGAATGAATGGGTTCAGTGGCAATTTGCCATCCATTTTTTATACTTTTTCTCTTTTCAAATATGGGAGAGACTACTATTTATCTTTTTATTTTTATTTATAATCAAAACTATGAATTTTAATAAGCATTTATTGCATTTTTTCAAATTATTTCTCTTAAAGTCAATATTTATTTTTATTAGACAAGTTTGTTTCATTAATTATAGTATTACAGGGATAATTTAATCCAAATTTTTTTATTTCAGACATTATTATCATACTTAATCAATTGTCTTGAATTGTTTGAATTTTTTTTTTTAACATTTGAAAACGGAGGGAGTACTTGACAAGCTTTCCAGTCCTGAATTTCTCATGCAATAGTTAGACTGGAACAATGATTAGGAGAATCTCAAACATTGATTGGGAATCTTGTTCTGTTTTTCCTTTTTCTTTCTTTCTTTCTTTTTTTATTTGGCCAATTTGTTCTGTTGTATTTCATCATGACAAAGCGGGCAAAGGGTTGGTTGGTCTCATTTGCTACTGTATAGAGAATTTAGTTTCAAATTTCAATCATGGAATTAGTTAGTTCTCTCTGGACATGAATTCTTTCAACATCTTTAGAGGTGTCTACAGTACAAGTTTAACGTGCAGATTTTTTTGTTGGGAAAATAGCAATTCAGGATTGGGGAAGAAAATTTATATCGATTAAGATCAATTATTACAAAATTCAAATGAAAAACATACACAAATGAATTATTGTTAATTTATAATAAGTTGTTAAAACTTGATTCGATACTTGTTGGTAAAAAAATAACATGAATTAACAAGTATCTATTTAAGTTTAATAATAAGTAATTCTTAATTAATATAAATTTTTTCAATTGATTTTTGGTTGATATTTTTCTTTTTATTTTTTCTAAAAAAAGAACAAATGACAAGCGCAGTTAGGATTTCATTTTAGCCTAGGTGAATTGAATTTAGTTTTACAGGTGGTTTTGGATTTTGAATGTCCAATTTAAGTTTTTACGCCACATGTCTAATACATCTCAAAAACTTAATTTTATATTTATTATAGCATGTATGAATTATTCAATATTTGAACTAATCTATGAGCCTGTATAACAACTAAAGCTCGGTAAAAAACGAAGATTTTGTATGAGAAAAAAACTAGAATTAAACTAAGAGCATGAATTGCTACGATCAGTATGTAGGTTGAATGCCTCAAATTTTTTGTAATTAATGAATTAGTGTTATTTCGTTCCATTAGACAGGCATCATAGAAATTTATATTAGACATTCAGAAATCCATCAGTTTCAAGCCTATCCACTCTTTTCCTAGACAATTAAAAATCACTGACTAGTTGGAACATGAATTTGGTACACTTAGTTATCCATACAGTAAAAACATACACTTCCAATCCTATACATTAGTCACGTTTCAAAATTAAAGTTTGATCTATTTTATAAATCATTTGTTAATGAAATTGTTTTATTTCAAGTTGAAATTCCTAAATTATCCTTAAAATGTAAGAAAGAAAAGACAAAAAATAATATTATATTATTTGTTTATTTTTTTCTTTTTACTTGAGAGTTATATTTAAAATTTTTTTTTTTTATTTCTTATACTTTTATTATATTAGTATTGATAAATTTGATAAAAATGACTTACAAATAAAATCTGAGAGAATACCATATTATATTACCTTAATCAAATAAAATATCATCTATCATTATTTTTAAGAAAAAAATATAATTTTAAATTTCTATAATTTACTCGTGCTTTAATTTGCTATAAATTCCTTTACTTTTTATTTGATGTTTTTAATTTCTCTATTTTCATTTTTTATTTTTTTTAAATTTCTCAATAAACAAAATATAAGGATCTTGCAAAGACTTAAAATAATAAAATATAAAAGTACAACAACTAAAAAATATAAAAATATAAAAATCAATAACAAAATATAAACAAAATCCAAAAATCTAAAATTATATATATTTTTTATTTTTAATGACTTTGTGTTTGAAATAATACATTTCTTTAATTTATTGTTTCTTCTGTCTTTGTTATAATCAACAAGAGGACAAAATTAATTTATATTTACAGTTATTTAAGATGACGTGTTTTTATTAAATAGTATATGAATAATGTCGTGCGGGTAGTTGGGTCAAAGTAAGAATTTCTCAAAATAACTTTGCTGAACAAGAGGGGAAGGAGTATGAAACCCAAACGCAGCCTGATAGATTTACCAAAAGAACTGACAAACATACAAGTGACAGTAAAGGACAGATAACACATTCCAAAGCCACACCCAAAGTGTCCATTGTACAGCGCAACAACGGACCCACTCAAGGTCGCTTATTCAAACCCAACAAGGAAACTCCTTTCACAAAACAAACCCTTCTCTGCCTCATTTATTTAGTCTACACCAAGCTTCTTCCTCAAGATCAAACAAATTCATAGATTTGATTGGGATCAGGAAGAGACTTAGACACAGTCTCTCTTTGCATGCACCTTTTAGCCCATTCAATGAACTTAGGGCAATGCTCCTCTGTTTTGAAGTTGCCAAGAGTTTCATAGGCATAAAACCAGCTGTAGAAAGGTATGAGAGCAAGATCCACATATCCAAAGTCTTCACCTCCAAAATAAGGCTTGTCTCCAAGCTCTTCTTCTAGCTGCTTCAATGCAGATATGAAGTCCTTCTTTGCTGTCTCAAGTTCTTCCCCTTTCGTTGTCCATACCCTAGTTGAAGCATCAGCCACCTGGACTTGTTTCAACATGCTTTCAACATCAATATTACTAATGCTACTAATACAAATTAACAATGTGCTTGACATTTGATGCCAATTACCACGTTATCAACTACACACGTTTTCCTGTTCATTTCATGAAAAACCAGTCATATTTTCTTTTTTCGCCTTATAAGAAAATGGAGAACAATAAACGATAATAACCCTCTTTCTAAGCTTAAAGGAATTTTCTCTCCAAAATTACTCCATCCTTAAAGATAAGATTTTAAAGAGAAAGCAAGTAGGTTCCAGAAAGAACATTCAGGAAGTAGTTGAACAAGATCTTTTTACCCAAAAATGAGGTTGTTGATTCCCTATTTCCTCTTGTCATCTGAGGATGAGAAAATCTATATATATATATATATATATATTACAACCGGTTGCATGCAGATCATGGCCACTATGTAACACAGGCGAACAGTGTAGCAGAAGACCATAGGAAAGATATATTTTCTCTTTTATTTTCTGTTTCCTCTTCCTTTACTTTTGAATCCGTTCAAACACAAGGTAAAGTGAACACTATTCTTCTTAAGCTTGGGTCAAATGACATGATTCAGTGGTAGACTAGAGAGATCAAAGTGAATAATCTAATCTTCCGATAAGATAAAACTAAAATCTTATGAACACATACATAATCAAAGTATTATAATAGCTGCCAAAAGAATGAAAAAGTGTTTTAAAAAAAAAAAAATACCTTCTTATCAACAAAATCAGCCCAGAACCTAGCCTGAGCTCTGGCATAAGGATCAGAAGGCAACAATGGATTCCCCTTGTCCTTCCAAACCTCATCAATGTACTGAACAATTATCAGAGACTCACAAATAGGCTTCCCATTATGAACCAAAACTGGAACCTTCTTGTGAATAGGGTTCATCTGCAGAAGCTCAGGTCCTTTGTTTGCCAAATCTTGTTCCTTTTTCTCATACTCTATGCCTTTCTCAGCCAAAGCAATCCTAGCCCTCATCGAAAACATACTAAATGTTGCGTCCAGAAGCACAACGTTGTGACCTGCCATTGTTTCTTTCAACTAACCTCAACTCTCTCAGCCACACTGGTCTCACTCAAACTGTGTTGCAGAGGTGTTATATATTAGAAGAAGAGGCCGTCCCCTTCATTTTTTACTGTTTTAGGGTTCAAGTGGACTGGAGACACGTTGTCAGTACTGTGATTTATTTTATTATCTAAAACGAGCTGTTCAAGACTTCTCTAGGTGGAGCAGGTGTTCCGAGACGCGCAAGCGTCGGTCAGTATTATTTTATTCAGGTTTTGTTCTGGTGCACCGAATGTGGAAGAAACTTACATCAAGTGGCCCACAAATTATTATAGATAAAAAGTTGCAATAAAGAATATATATTTTATACTAGGGCTGCTTTTGTCTTGCTTTTCAGAAAAAAAAAAAAGTTGTTTGGAGATTGCTTTATGAGGTGCTTTTCTTCTTCCAAAATAAAAGATATTCTCTCTAATAAAAAATATTAATTAAATTTTATTTTAATAAAATAAATATTTATTTTTAAATTAATTATATTTTTTATATTTATTCTTTACACATTCTATAATAAATATAAAAATATTTATTAATAAAAATACTTAAAAAAGATTGTGATTACATTTTTAATTAAATAAAATATCATGTATCATTATTTTTAAAAAAAATATAATATTAAATTTTTATATTTACTCGTATTTTTAATATTAACCTATATACTTTTTTTTATATTTTTTAATCTTTATTTTTATTTTTTATTATTTTAAATTCTTCTATAAATAAATTATAAGGGATTTTAAAGAAATTTAAAATAATAAAAACAAAAGTACAATAATAAAAACATTCAAAAAAATATAATAATTAATAATAAAATACGAGTAAAATTTAAAAGACTTGGAATATATTTTTTATTTTTAATGATTTTATGTTTGAAATAAAACATTTCATTAATTTATTATTTTTTTTATTATCAGATAATGATAAAATAATTATATTTACAGTTAGTTAAGATGATATGTTTTTATTAAAAGTATATGAATAATGTCACGCTGGTTGTTGAGCGAACGTAAGAATTTTTCAAATAACTTTGCCGAATAAGGGGGAGGAGTATGAAACCAAAACATGGCCTCATAGATTTACCAAAAGCTCTGACAAACATACAAAGTGACAGTGAAGGACCGATAACACACTCCAAAGTTTCCATTGTACAGTTCAACAACTGACCCACTGAAGATCACTTATTCAAATCCATCAACGAAAGTCCTTTCACAAAACAAGTCTTTCTCTTTTTTATTCGTGTGTTAAATTAAAAAAAATTATAATTAAATTAAAATTAATTGAAATTAACAAACTCAAATTAAAAGTATAAATTTAACATAATTTATATTTAAATATTTTTTATTTAAAAATTAATGAATAAATTAGAATTTATTTAAATAATTTAATTTAAAAGTCAGTTTAAAAATGTAATATAACAAAAATAAACATGAATTATGTTATATATAATATATTTTGTAACCCATTTGATATTTCTAAAAAAATAATAAACTTCAAATTATAATTTTTTAAGAAAGAGAGAATTAAAAAATCTAAAAAAATTGATAAATAAAAAATCATAATTTTTAAGCAAAAAAGGTAGAATGAAAGATAAATAAATTTATAAATTCAAAATTAATTATTAATATTAATATTATTTTGATATAAAATATAAAATTAATAAAAACATTGAATATTACTAAATTAAAAATAATACAATTTAATTTTTAGACTTTATACAACTTGCGCAAACAATCTCACATGTTTTGTGTTATATATAGTTTTTTATTCTTTTATAAAAACAAATTAAAAAATTACAGTTAATTCCTCCTTCAATTTTTTTTTGAAGAAAAAACTAAACAAGAATGAAAAATTTGCTGTAAGCTCCCCCCTCGTGAAGCGGAAAAGGATTGCCATTATAAACTTGTTTTGTATTTGATAATTGGAAGAGAGGAGGAAAGAGAAGAGAAATAAAAAATTCAACATTATTTGCCTCGTATAATGTGCAACGTACTTAACCTTTTCCATAAGCCAACATTTGGAGCTTGCATCTGAATGCGCTTTTGAAGTAAAAGCTCTTTTAATTTTTTTTTATCCAAATATATTTTTAAATTACTTACTAAACTTTTACTCTTTAAATTAAGATTAAAAACCCCGAGAAACGCTCATCCAGTGGTAATCCAAAACATAACCAATTGTTGTGTAACAAAAGTCCATTAATGTGTGATTGGCTTTCGGTGGGTAAAAATTCATTTATTAAAAATTCATTTGATAAAAATTAATTTAATAAAAATCAATTGTTATAATAAAATTTTTATTTAAATATATTTTTTTAAAATTCAGTTTGATAAATAAAAATTATTTAAATTAATAATAAAACATATTTTTAAAATTCAATTATTAGAAAAAAAATTAATTTATAATAATTTAAATTTTATTATATAAATATAATATATTTAAAAAATGTGATAAAAATTTTAAATAACGTAAAATTTAATTTATAATATCAAAAATTAATCTCTAATTATTTATATTTTTTAATTTATAATTTTAAAAAATGGGATAAAAATTTATAATTTTTATATATATTAATGTTAAAAACATAATTAATTATTCAATTTATAATGCTAAAACTAAATACATAATAATAATCATATTATTAAATGAATTAATTATTTTTAAAGTAAAGAATAAAAAATTACACTTAAAATAGTATGATTAAATAACATGTTATTTTTGTTTTTTAAATTTACCTTTCAATTATTATTTAAATGTGTTTTTTATAAAATATTTTATTTAAATAACTTCTAACATCTAAAATAAAAATTTACTTTTTAAATGTGAAAAGCAAGCAAACCAAGCCCTTAGTCTATACCAAGCTTCTTCCTCAGATCAAAGCAAATCCATAGACTTGATTGGGATCAGGAAGAGACTTAGCCACAGTCTCTCTTTGCATGCACCTTTTAGCCCATTCAATGATCTTAGGGCAATGATCCTCTGTCTTGAAGTTGCCAAGAGTTTCATAGGTATAAAACCCGCTGTAGAAAGGTATGAGAGCAAGATCCACATATCCAAAGTCTTCACCTCCAAAGTAAGGCTTGTCTCCAAGCTCTTCTTCTAGCGCTTCAATGCAGATATGAAGTCCCTCTTTGCTGTCTCAAGTTCTTCCCCTTCCTTTTCCATACCCTAGTTGAAGCATCAGCCACCTGGACTTGTTTCAACACGCTTTCAGCATAAATAGTACTCATGCTACTAATACAAAGAATAATGTGCTTGACATAGATTTCAATTACCAAGTTATCAACTACACACGTTTTCATTGTCATTTCATGAAAAACCAGTCATATTTTCTTTTTTCTCCTTATAAGAAAATGGAGAGAACAATAAACAATGATACCCCTCTTTCTAAGCTTAAAGGAATTTTTCTCTCCAAATTACCCATCCTTAAAGATAAGATTTTGAAAAGAAAGCACGTAGGTTACAGAAGAAACATTCAGGAAGTAGTTGAACAAGATCTTTTACCCAAAAGCGAGGTTGTTGATTCCCTATTTCCTCTTGTCATCTGAAGATGAGACAATCTCTTTATATATATATATATATATATATATATGTTACAAGCGGTTTGCATGGCAGATCAAGCCCACTATGTAACACCAGTAGAAGGTGAACAGCGTAGCAGAAGACCATAGGAAAAAATATATTTTCTCTCTTATTTTCTTCTGTTTTCTCTTCCTTTACTTTTCAATCCATTCAAACGCAAGGTAAAGTGAACACTATTCTTCTTGAGCTTGGGTCAAATGAAATGATTCAGTGATAGACTAGAGAGATCAAAGTGAATCATCTAATCTTCCAATAAGATAAAACTAAAATCTTATGACCACAAAACATAATCAAAGTATTATAATAGCTGCCAAAAGAATGAAAAACGTGAAAAAAAAATTACCTTCTTATCAACAAAATCAGCCCAGAAAACCTTGCCTGAGCTCTGGCATAAGGATCAGAAGGCAACAATGGATTCCCCTTGTCCTTCCAAACCTCATCAATGTAACTGAACAATTATCTGAGACTCACAAAACAGGCTTCCCATTATGAACCCAAAACTGGAACCTTCTTGTGAATAGGGTTCATCTGCAGAAGCTCAGGTCCTTTGTTTGCCAAATCTTGTCCTTCTTTCTCATACTCTATGCCTTTCTCAGCCCAAGCAATCCTAGCCCTCATCGAAAACATACTAAATGTTGCGTCCAGAAGCACAACGTTGTGACCTGCCATTGTTTCTTTCAACTAACCTCAACTCTCTCAGCCACACTGGTCTCACTCAAACTGTGTTGCAAGAGGTGTTATATATTAGAAGAAAGAGGCCGTCCCCTTCATTTTTTACTGTTTT